TACATTTGCTATTTTTACAAGTTTGAAACTATCAAACTTTCGCTTTGAAACGGTGCAATTATATATATATATATATATATGTGTGTGTGTGCCTTTGGTCTGAAATTATATATCGTTTTGTTGCTTCTCGTTTTTGTTGATATGCATTTATGGAATATTGCTTTTGGAAGTTCGTTTGTCATTGATTTAAGCGGATATCGTAATTTTATTTTTACTCCGAGCTGAATCTGTAGAATTTTATGTGCTGTGCTTACCTGGAAACTTTGAGATGATCTGAAAATGATTCAGAGCAAACTTTATTGTATTATGTTTCTTCGCATCTCTTTTTGGAAATTTTTTTCGACAGGGGTCTTTTGAACACAATGATTGATTTATTTTAGCGATTTTCTGGTTTTCTGAATGCTTGCGATGCTGTTTTGTCTCACTTCAATCGCTCTGATTATTGCTCAAACAAGAGTTGTTGATCTGGTTTTTATCCTATTTATATATGGTTGTAATTGATTGAAATATATTAATTTTTTGCAATCTGCTCAAATTGCGTTTTTTGTTATTTTGCTTCTGCTGTAAAACTTTCATTGCATTTAATAAAACTGTAATAATTTTTGTTTTACGTGCACATTGACCGATTGATTTACATATGAAAGCATTGGAAATTTTCAAGTTCATGATCACTTTGTACAGTCACTTATTGTTAGCATAGTGGAGCAGTTAAGGTGCATTCATATGTAACATTAACAGTTTCTGGCATTTTAACTGAACACAGGATTACGAGAAGGATTTGAATCTCTTCTTTTGTTGTCTCTGATTTGAGATAATTTAACGCCAACATAATTCAATTTGAGATATTTTAATATTATAAGAATCCTAAGAATTTAATACGAATATTATGGGAATGAATCTTCGCAGCAATTAGCAGTCGATCTACTTGAGCAATTTGATATGTTGGCTTTGATCTTAATCGTTTATCAACTCGCTCTGTGTTCAACATCAGTTCCTTGGTTTTGTCAATTCAATGAAACCGGATAGTGTACCAATATCATTGATGTTGTGAAATTGAGCCAGGCTATGACTTGGCTTAAGTCTAATTATTTGTCAATTTAGTTTGTAGGCAAATTTAATCTTTTGCTAGTGATATATGCAATCTCGATTGCTCCACATGAATGGAATTTTCGATCTTCAGCAAGATTTTTATGCAGTTTTTGATGCGTTTTCTTCAAACAATCAAAAAAANCTAATGAACGCTTATAATAAGCGGATGCTGAAAATAATGTTAGTTGCGACATTGTTATATGAACTGCGACCACAATAAACAGGTAGCAATGCAACAACGTTCAGTCACCGTTAGATTAACCACAAATCCTTGGTGAGAATGTTGATTATTGCTATTATTATTACTGTTGTTGTTATTACGGTGACAATGATGATGATATCGTAGAGGTAGATGATGTTTAATGACATGCATTCATGAAAACATAGGTTATTTGCCTAAGTATTGTTACAATGAAATCGAAACAAATTTACAATTATTACACATTATGGATCATCAAGCAGATGTCATGAAACTACAAAAATTCAGTTGAGCAAATATTTGACTCATCATCAGATTCATGCTTATTATCCATCTATGTATGGATATGGAATGCTTACATATGGATGGATAAGCAGGAAGCATATGTGCAAACAAGCATACAAAAGAACAAAATACTTCTTTCCAGTGATAATATAAAAATGGAAACGACGCAAATTCAACTGAATCGAAGTTCCAAATGCGATGACTATGATAATGGCAGAGCACCGATGAGTCGTAGAATATGTGGAAATGAGTGAAGGCACACACGCAAACAACAGAATTAATCCGTCGTCATCCTTTTTCATGCATTGAACCGTTAGAGTGTTCATTTATTATATAATATTTGATAACATTATTACATGACATTCAGTTATTCACAGACATCAATGGGAGGAAGATGTTTTATCACGACATCATTCTGATATTTTGGCTTTTGGATCGGCTTGCGCTTCGATCATTACTATGATGGTTATTACTCTAATTTGCATTCGAAACGATTGTAGAAGAACTTTTAAAAAGACTGCTTTCTGAATGTGATTCAGATGTATATTGCATCGTATTATCAATCACGACCATTGATAGA